TGTGGGTCACCTCCCTGGCTGGGGATCGAACCCATGCTGCAGTAGCTGCAGATAGCTTCATAGTGCTGCACTTTAACCCATTGCGTCACCAGGGATGGCCCAATGCTGGCAGTTTCTAAATAGGAAATATAAATTCCCAGCTATTCCTCCAAAGAGCATGTTCAATGTTTTTATATTGGGCTTTTATGTCAGAGACTTTTAAGATGTTTTTAAGAAGCAGAATAATATTTATTTCAAAGCATGATGAAAACAGGTTTAAGACCTAAGACATGTTTTCCACATCTTTTCAACCACATGAAACTTGGTTTATGTTGAGAGCTTGCTAGGGCTTTGGTAGCAAAATAGCACAAACTAGATGATATCAATATTAAATGTCTTACAGTTCAAGAGACTAGAAATCCAGAATTCAGGAGTGGGTATTGTCCAATAGAAGAAGAAAAATATGTTAGAAAACTTGGGTCCTTCCCACTCCTTAATCAGGTTTGTCCTTTAAATAAGTGTGCCCAACTGGGAGTTCATTGCTTTTGGCAGAAAGGCTCAGATACACTTCCTTACGCTGTTGGCCTTTTTCATTCTGGAAATGCAAACCATTCTATTGATATATGAATTTATTCTAATCTACACCTAAGTCAGAATAGAAAACCATACACATACACAGTGGTTCTCAAATCTCCCCAGCATGATCCCTTTAGTTTAGTTTTTTTTTTTTTAAGATTTATTTATTTATGCATACAGAACTGGGGTCCACGCTAGAGGTGCAGGGGAAATGAGAGGATTCACCAGAGACAGAGTGGAGAGCAAAATAGGCCGATTGATGAAGTATACTCCTGAGGGGCGCAGCAGGCAAGACAGGAGAGGGCTGCTGTGCCATGTGGGTCACCTCTGGGGCCGGGGATCAAACTTGCACTGACGAGGCTGAGGATAGCTTGCAGTGCTGCAACCCAACCCACTGTGCCACCAGTGTGGGCCTGACCCCTTTAGTTTTTATAAATGACATTACTCTTACTTTTGGAATTTGCAGTCAGCCAGCTGTCTTCCTCTCCAGACTTTGCCTCTTCACTAACTGTGAACTACGCGGAATTACTGACTCGCTCTAAACTTCAGCAGCCTCATCACAATAAAATTCCTAGCTCATAGGGTTGTTTTGAACATCTGATAAAATTGTGTAATATTCTTATTTTAATATATATTACTAAATAGGTAACATTCCATAAGGAGTTAATATTTTTGTTTTGACTAACTAATCCTCCAGTCACCCATGGACTTCTCTTCCCTTTCTTATTTTTACATCATTTTGTACATTTTTTTTTCCATCTCCATGGGCTTCCCATCACGAAGTCACCCCTGTGCCATCACCATAGTCCAGTGCACTTCTCCCCCCCCACACCGTTTTTGATACCATTCCCCACTCCACCCCCACAAAATGTCTCTGGTATATGGCTGTTCACTATTCTTATTATTTCTCTTCCCTTTCTAAACTTAAATCTTTTTTTAAAAAAGATTTATTCATTTATGCATACAAGAACTGGGTACAGGCCAGAGGTGCGGGGGTAAGAGGATTCACTAGAGACAGAGTGGGGAGCAGAACAGGCAGATACACTGAAATCCACTGCTGAGGGTAACAGTGGACAACACAGGAGAGGTCTGCTGTGCCATGTGAGTGAAATCACTGGCTGGGGATGGAAGTCACACTGCTGTGGCTGTGGATAGCTTCACAGTGCTACGACTTAACCACTGTACCACCACGAAGGCACCTCCAATGCAATTTTTTCCTGCTTAAAACTCCCCACAGCTTTTGATTTATACTGAGACTAATTCAAAAACCCTGATTGTTTCATCAACCCCGACTCAAGTCTCATTTCTGGTCACTGCTGCCCCAAAAATTTATTGGTGAGTAATCTGAAGAAGGTAAGAGAATAGCTGGTACTTTTCTCTGGAGCTATAACTCTCTAGACAGAGCCAACAGCAAGTGCAGAGGCCTAAACTGGGACTTGTTTGCTGCAAAGCAAGGGGACCAGATGGCCCAGAGCAAAGCGAGAGAAGGAAAGTGCTAGAAATCAGGAAGGCAACAAGGCACCAAATCCAATAGGATTTTGTAAACAATTGTACTGTCTTTGGCTTTCACTCTGTCATCAAATTTTGAGTTGCAGAATGTTGCTAACATCTACTCTGCCCTGCCATGTCGGGAA